GAGGGGGGGGGGGAAGGGATAGGTGAAGGAAATTACCAAAGATTTGGGAAATGTATTTGAATCCTTTATAGATGCCTTTCATTTTGGTTCCCATGGAGAAAGCTACAGAGGCCCAATCCAACAGCCCTCTTCTAAGATATGAGGCCAAGAGGAGGAGAAACAACACCAATGTGAAGAAATGGTTCCTTGGCCTGTCAAAAAAGCAAACTAATTAAAAGGGTATCCGAAATATGTAACCATTTTTTATGAAAAAGTCATCAAAATTAAAGCCTATAAGGCTCTTGGGTATCAATTAAAAGGTGTGCAAGAGATGAGCTTTTGGAACAGTTTGCCTATTTGATGAGATTGGTATATATCCATTGATTACAAAGCAAATAAATGCTTCAAGCCTAAAAACATTCAAGGCAAAGGATAAAGATTTCTAATGTACCTTTTCAGAGAATGATTGAGCTAATAGGAGAGAGGAGATTCAAAATAGAAGCTGCTTCTCCTCTCCTTCCAGCTAAATTTCCCATCTTTCTTCAAATTTTGTTGATAATTGCATGTCACAACATGCATGCGAAACAACCCAGAAGGAATGAGGTTCAAGGACTTGTTAATGGGCTCAACAAAAAAGAGAACAATCTTGAAGCTGAGCAAGAAAAATATGGGAAAGAAAGAGAAAAGGAGAAGAAAATGGCAGTTATTGGTGTCCCAAAACTGATGAGTTGGGGAGGATGATATGAGGAATGTATCTGAATATCGAATGAGTTGTCCTGAGGAGGAAAGAGAAGTGAACAAAGAAGATGAAGAGAAGAGAAGAGACGAGAGAGAAAAAAACAAAAAGTGGACAACCACGAAAACCTCCCAAAGGAAGGTTGAGGGATGGCATTGACGTATATGAACCGAGACCAGAGAGTCCAATCAAACCGATAAATAAATTAAAAAAAAAAAACAATAAAGTGGTCAGATTTTGTATTCGGGGGTGAATTGGGGTAATAAATGTCATTATTACTCATGTGGATTTTGGTGCACTTGTACTTTGTCGTTGAGCGAGCAATTTACGGGTCTCAACTCCTTTTTCAAAGGGTAAAAAAGTCTTAAAAACACAGGATTAATTACACATTACCCAACTCAACTATAGTTTATTACACTAAACTACAAAAATTTAGATCTCACTTAATGAGTTTTTCTACATTTCTCTTTTTGGTAGGTTATCACTATGAATTATGGGAAAAAAACTCACTTATATGTTACAAGTACCACTCAAATTATCGATGGATAGATCATTGGAATGAATCTCAACCAATAAATAAAGTAAAAGATTAATAATTTTCCTCCGAGTTGTGAGTCCATTAACTTGCAAGTCCACACACTTGGATAATAGGGGTCACACACAATCAACCTCATCATAATTTTTTTAAGGAGAAGAAGTCTATGGATTGGGAAAAAAAGTTGATATCATACTGCTATTTATAAATTTTGTGAGGTTTTTTTTACAATTTTTAAGAATTATTTATATTTTTTGGGAGTCGTTTACAAATTTTGAGAATCATTTTTCATTGTTGGGAATTATTTATAAATTTTGGGTGACATTTACAACTTTTAGGATTGCTTATGGGTGTAAATGACTTTCAAAAATTGTAATTTAAACCAGTTGTAAAATAATTTTAAAAGTTGTATACATTTCTTTTTTGGTAACCAAACCTACAAAACTTATNGGGAAAAAAAGTTGATATCATACTGCTATTTATAAATTTTGTGAGGTTTTTTTTACAATTTTTAAGAATTATTTTATATTTTTTGGGAGTCGTTTACAAATTTTGAGAATCATTTTTCATTGTTGGGAATTATTTATAAATTTTGGGTGACATTTACAACTTTTAGGATTGCTTATGGGTGTAAATGACTTTCAAAAATTGTAATTTAAACCAGTTGTAAAATAATTTTAAAAGTTGTATACATTTCTTTTTTGGTAACCAAACCTACAAAACTTATATATAAACCCACAAACTAACCTTTAGGAATGATTTAGTGGTTGACACTAACCTTTGAAAATTCGGAAGTTTCAGGTTTAATCTCTTTCTATATCCCTATGAATTAGCCACTCTTATTCCTTTAGAGCATACTTTCACCCAATTCAAGTCACGATGGTCAGTCGCTGAGCTTGAGGGATTTATCGACTCAAGTTGAGACACCTTGTAATTAAAAAAAAAAAAACCTTCAAAACTTATAAAATTTGGCGATGCAATATCGTAGTTTTTTCCTTTCTTTTATAGGTTGAATATCGATACAACTGCCAGCAGTTTTTGTTTGTCTTTCCTGGCTTCAACATGAAAATGGTATCTTTGGATATTATTNCTTACGAATTAGTCATTCTTATTCCTTTAGAGCATACTTTCACCCAATTCAAGTCACGATGGTCAGTCGCTGAGCTTCAGGGATTTATCGACTCAAGTTGAGACACCTTGTAATCAAAAAAAAAAAACCTTCAAAACTTATAAAATTTGGCGATGCAATATCGTAGTTTTTTCCTTTCGTTTATAGGTTGAATATCGATACAACTGCCAGCAGTTTTTGTTTGTCTTTCCTGGCTTCAACATGAAAATGGTATCTTTGGATATTATTGTCATTAAAATTATTTGCAAATGGAATTATTATAATCAGATTTGTTTCCATATGTGTATTCCATTGCTTGGTTTAGCATCATTCCAAAGTAATATACTACTCTCCAACTCTTTAATATTATGTATGTATGTATGTATGTCACCTTTTGGATATATATCTATAGTATTGTCAGTTCATGTGGTTGGATCCTTCCAATCTCCACCTAATTGTTAGGTACTTTTATGCAAAAGATTTGTTGATGGTTGGAGCCACGTTTATTGAAGTTGTTGCTTGGAGTGCAACACTTCATTGAGATTTTACATTACCTGATGTGGAAATGTGTGGGTCACTTTCAAACACACTCATGGTTTTACTATCAATAGCCTGAGTAGATCGGATTTTTATTCGAATTCATTTAATTATATGTAAATTTATATTTCTTGATTGACAACCTAAATCAAATTCAGAAGCACGATATCATGTTTTAAGATTCGTGTTTTGACATGGAATACGTTTGATGAAATTGGGTTGAAGTTCAGGTATAGTTTTTTAAAATTAATGTAAGATTGAATAGTTTGAATCAGATCTAATATACAAATCGAATTTCCGTCTTTAATGAATTTGGAGGTGGCCTATAAAAATGAAATTAATCAGATAATTGAATCGTACATGGGTCCAAGCTTTTAAATTGGATTCAGATTGATTGCAATTTAATCTAAAAACAATCTATTGATAGGCGTAAATTCCATTAATCAATCTTGAAAATCATGTTGAAATTATCTAAAAAACAAAGGTCAGCAAAGGTGATTTATGGGATGGAATAGTTGAAGTAGACCATTAATATAATGAAGAGTACAACCAAAGTCAATGTTTGTATAGTTGGCTTACACTGAATCTAATGGAGATGAGAGATACAAATGGTTGACGGAGTGGAAGAAAAACAACATTGTTGGGACAGTTCTATTTTATTAGAAAAAATAATACATACATCATTACTCTTTTCTTTTCTTTTTCTTTTTTCCTTTGGATAAGTAATTAATCAATAAATCGAATTAATGTCAATTTATTTGGGGCAATTAATTAAATAATAGCTTAAAAGTTCAAGCAATACAGAAAGAACAATATTACTTGGATCTAATTTATTGATCAAACTAATCACAACATAAGTTGTGATCCGCTGACAATCCAATAAATATAATATATTAGATTGATAAATTAAGTCTAAATCGTATTATTGATACACAAATATCAGAAGATAATCGTTAACGGATTACAGAAATAAAGGAAGGTACTCTCATATGATTAGATTTCATTATATTTCACAAAAAAAAAAATTATTTTTATCCGTAAGTTTTGATTCGATCTAAAACTATTAAGTTAGGTATCAATTAAAATTCTAACTGATTATCTGAATTGGATATCATTTTTTCTATGGATTCACATAGAGATTATTAAAATTATAACTAATTATCTGAATTAGATATATTTTTTTCTATGGATTCACGCATAGGTTGTTGAAATGGAATCTATCAAATAATGGGATTGAATTTAGACTGAAATTCTTTTAATCGTATTAGATTTGGATCATCATATTCATGATAGTACCCCATATATTTGCTTAGACACACACTTGAGGCAAGCATAAGCCAATAATTTTCAAATTGATTGAGACCAAGGATGACAATAATGAGATGAGAAATAACACATAAATAAAAGGTGATGCCAATAATTATTTCTAGGAGACAAGAATGATTAAGGAGAGGAATGATAAGTTTTGAACTTGTGATCTTAAAGTCTAACAATGGGGGTGATTAATGGCCACCGTTAACCTCGACAAGGATGATAGATGATATATCATTAATACAACAAACAATGTTGCCGAAAATACAATGGTTTCAACCATAGTTGAGGCGGAATATGTCATTCTGCACAAAAAAAGCTCCTTGAAGTTTGGGAATCAAGTGAAACATCTGCAACATGTAACAACAACATTCCAAAAACATGTCATCCTTCAATTTTTGTTTCATCAAATGTTTATGAAACCACCCTCAACCTTCCGATCGTGATGATTGAAAGAATTTACAATCACAACTTTGTGATATCGTGGACGTGTTTGCATAGTATAACCTCCATTTTTAGGATTGATTCCCGGGTTGAATCTCACCGTCACATAATGGTAGAAAGGGTTACGGTAATAAATGGCATTTGTGTGATCGTGGATTACCCTACTACATTGTACGGTCGATGTACATTTGAGTCAATCCTAGGGTCGAATTTCAGACAACCCTGGTCCCCTAGTTATAAGAATGCGTTTGTACTATATTTATTCTCCCTAAAAGAGCTTAAATTTGCTAAATAACACAAGTTATTAATCTTGCTTGAATGTTATCAGAAGGAATCTATGCCAAGAATAGTTNAGCCTGACTAGATCGGATTTTTATTCGAATTCATTTAATTATATGTAAATTTGTATTTCTTGATTGACAACCTAAATCAAATTCAGAAGCACGATATCATGTTTTAAGATTCGTGTTTTGACATGGAATACGTTTGATGAAATTGGGTTGAAGTTCAGGTATAGTTTTTTAAAATTAATGTAAGATTGAATAGTTTGAATCAGATCTGATATACAAATCGAATTTTCGTCTTTAATGAATTTGGAGGTGGCCTATAAAAATGAAATTAATCAGATAATTGAATCGTAAATGGGTCCAAGCTTTTAAATTGGATTCAGATTGATTGCAATTTAATCTAAAAACAATCTATTGATAGGCGTAAATTCCATTAATCAATCTTGAAAATCATGTTGAAATTATCTAAAAAACAAAGGTCAGCAAAGGTGATTTATGGGATGGAATAGTTGAAGTAGACCATTAATATAATGAAGAGTACAACCAAAGTCAATGTTTGTATAGTTGGCTTACACTGAATCTAATGGAGATGAGAGATACAAATGGTTGACTGAGTGAAAGAAAAACAACATTGTTGGGACAGTTCTATTTTATTAGAAAAAATAATACATACATTATTACTCTTTTCTTTTCTTTTTCTTTTTTCCTTTGGATAAGTAATTAATCAATAAATCGAATTAATGTCAATTTGTTTGGGGCGATTAATTAAATAATAGCTTAAAAGTTCAAGCAATACAGAAAGAATAATATTACTTGGATCTAATTTATTGATCAAACTAATCACAACATAAGTTGTGATCCGCTGACAATCCAATAAATATAATATATTAGATTGATAAATTAAGTCTAAATCGTATTATTGATACACAAATATCAGAAGATAATCGTTAACGGATTACAGAAATAAAGGAAGGTACTCTCATATGATTAGATGTCATTATATTTCACAAAAAAAAAATTATTTTTATCCGTAAGTTTTGATTCGATCTAAAACTATTAAGTTAGGTATCAATTAAAATTCTAACTGATTATCTGAATTGGATATCATTTTTTCTATGGATTCACACAGAGATTATTAAAATTATAACTAATTATCTGAATTAGATATATTTTTTTCTATGGATTCACGCATAGGTTGTTGAAATGGAATCTATCAAATAATGGGATTGAATTTAGACTGAAATTCTTTTAATCGTATTAGATTTGGATCATCATATTCATGATAGTACCCCATATATTTGCTTAGACACACACTTGAGGCAAGCATAAGCCAATAATTTTCAAATTGATTGAGACCAAGGATGACAATAATGAGATGAGAAATAGCACATAAATAAAAGGTGATGCCAATAATTATTTCTAGGAGACAAGAATGATTAAGGAGAGGAATGATAAGTTTTGAACTTGTGATCTTAAAGTCTAACAATGGGGGTGATTAATGGCCACCGTTAACCTCGACAAGGATGATAGATGATATATCATTAATACAACAAACAATGTTGCCGAAAATACAATGGTTTCAACCATAGTTGAGGCGGAATATGTCATTCTGCACAAAAAAAGCTCCTTGAAGTTTGGGAATCAAGTGAAACATNCGGAGTGGAAGAAAAACAACATTGTTGGGACAGTTCTATTTTATTAGAAAAAATAATACATACATCATTACTCTTTTCTTTTCTTTTTCTTTTTTCCTTTGGATAAGTAATTAATCAATAAATCGAATTAATGTCAATTTATTTGGGGCAATTAATTAAATAATAGCTTAAAAGTTCAAGCAATACAGAAAGAACAATATTACTTGGATCTAATTTATTGATCAAACTAATCACAACATAAGTTGTGATCCNCCGGGTTGAATCTCACCGTCACATAATGGTAGAAAGGGTTACGGTAATAAATGGCATTTGTGAGATCGTGGATTACCCTACTACATTGTACGGTCGATGTACATTTGAGTCAATCCTAGGGTCGAATTTCAGACAACCCTGGTCCCCTAGTTATAAGAATGCGTTTGTACTATATTTATTCTCCCTAAAAGAGCTTAAATTTGCTAAATAACACAAGTTATTAATCTTGCTTGAATGTTATCAGAAGGAATCTATGCCAAGAATAGTTGGATATGAACGGATCATATGGACAGCCCACAATGGCCACCAAATGTGCACCATGAACTTCAAAAACCCGAGTTTTAGCCGATCACATCCGTTTAATAATTATGTTGATTTAAAGGCGACACGAACCTGACATGATATTAATGCGAGTATGACTATAATGAATCAAATATAGATATAATAAACACATACAATACAGTAGAAATGACGCAACACAATGCTAACCCTGATCGACAAACATTTTTTTTTTTTTGGGGGGGGGGGGAAGAGAGAGAGATACCTGACTAAACCTTAGTGGGTGGTCCTCTCCTTGCAGTTGGAGGCTGCCACTGACAAAGACAATGATGCCGCCAGCAAAAGCCGATGGCTGAGAATCAATGGTGCTAATCAGATGGTGGCACTGGTCGAATGGCAACTGATTTAGCTTACGAGAAATGTCATCAACCCCTTGTATGATTTGCCCCTCAAATGTGAGGATGGAGGTTGGTTGGTAGAGAGAGCAGAGAGAGGCCCGATCATTGTCGAATAACTGGTAGTAGTGATCCACAAATGCCCTTCCCACCATTTCAGCTTGCTCTTCCATCTCTCTCTCTCTCTCACACACACACAAAACATGAGAATTTAAAGGAGAAATGGGAGTGCTTTAAAGTAAAGAACATATAGACCAAGTGCCAATAAAGAAAAAGATGACAATGTACAAGGGTAATTAGAATATATGAAAGGCATCTACGGTGCTGCATTGGTACGCAAAGTTTTGAAAAAAAAAGATTGAAATCCATATAAAGAGTTGGTTGAGCATCTGCTACGCCACCCAGTTTCAGAGGCTTTTGGCCGACCAAAATCACTTTTTGCTTTGAGAACCCTAAATATTCACAGATTATCAGAAAATGTCCTACTGTATGAGTAAAGATTATCATCACAACCACCTTGCTCCAATGGATAATGACATTATCTCCCCTCCCCGAACGAGACATGGCTTGATGGAACTGCTCATAGGACATCATACTACATACTAAAATCAAACAAGCACTTATTCTCCCCTACCGGATAGCTGTAGACAGTTCAAATGGTCCTCTACAAAGATATTTCGTCGTTATGGGTATTACATAGTAGTCCAAATTCCAGAAAATCAAGGCTAGCTATGTGGCCAGGTATGGTTCGAAGAGGGTGATTTGAAGACTCACAGACCGCTTCCTAGTAGATATCAGGGAAAAAACAAATTGTGATGTCCGATAATTCGGTGTCTGGTGTACCTACATTTCACCACCTGCTGGATTTCTTCCATCAATTTTTTCTGCATTAATTGAAGTAGCGCAAGTAGATGACAGTGGCAAGAGTATTAATGGGAAGAGGAAACCTGAGTTAAGAGAACAGTGGCAAGAGTCTAAGAACGAGAAGATGAAGACGTCTAGAGGCTTTGAAATTTTGGCTAGTGTGAACATTGATCCTGGTTTTTGTTCTGTATGGACTGCACTACTACAAAGAAGCAAAAACAAATCCTGCAGACTTCAGAAAAAGAGCTACCCTTGACACATGTGCCGAACCAACAATATGTCTACATCCATGTCCCTGTTCTTGCGTCTTTTCACCCACATTCGGTCTTGCCAAGGGTGGGGTTGCACTATCCCCACTCGACTGATGTAGCTAACCCTCTTTATTCCCCTTAAGCATCTAAAACAATTAGTTAATGAGATTGGCCAACAAAATAGGGAGCCATAGAAATGACGAGTAATCGCATAACAGAAAATTCATGCTTACTTTGACAAATCAATCACTCTAGTGATTATGCAAGTATATAAGATTAAAAAACAAAACTAGTCTCCAAAAAGCATAGCCACGCACATAGAGATGAACAGTAACATGAAATCCATGTTAACAAAACGAAAGTTTCCTTTGCTAGATAAAGTGCTGGGCCACCATGAGCTACCACATCAGACATTTCAAAATATAAATCGAAGCATTTTATCTNAGCAATTAGTTAATGAGATTGGCCAACAAAATAGGGAGCCATAGAAATGACGAGTAATCGCATAACAGAACATTCATGCTTACTTTGATAAATCAATCACTCTAGTGATTATGCAAGTATATAAGATTAAAAAACAAAACTAGTCTCCAAAAAGCATAGCCACGCACATATAGATGAACAGTAACATGAAATCCATGTTAACAAAACGAAAGTTTCCTTTGCTAGATAAAGTGCTGGGCCACCATGAGCTACCACATCAGACATTTCAAAATATAANAGCACATAAATAAAAGGTGATGCCAATAATTATTTCTAGGAGACAAGAATGATGTCGGTCATGCATTATTACAAGGTGAGAAACGATAAGTTTTGAACTTGTGATCTTAAAGTCTAACAAGGGAGGTAATTAATGGCCACCGTTAACCTCGACAAGGATGATAGATGATATATCATTAATACAACAAACAATGTTGCCGAAAATACAATGGTTTCAACCATAGTTGAGGCGGAATATGTCATTCTGCACAAAAAAAGCTCCTTGAAGTTTGGGAATCAAGTGAAACATCTGCAACATGTAACAACAACATTCCAAAAACATATCATCCTTCAATTTTTGTTTCATCAAATGTTTATGAAACCACCCTCAACCTTCTGATCGTGATGATTGAAAGAATTTACAATCACAACTTTGTGATATCGTGGACGTGTTTGCATAGTATAACCTCCATTTTTAGGATTGATTCCAGGGTTGAATCTCACCGTCACATAATGGTAGAAAGGGTTACGGTAATAAATGGCATTTGTGTGATCGTGGATTACCCTACTACATTGTACGGTCGATGTACATTTGAGTCAATCCTAGGGTCGAATTTCAGACAACCCTGGTCCCCTAGTTATAAGAATGCGTTTGTACTATATTTATTCTCCCTAAAAGAGCTTAAATTTGCTAAATAACACAAGTTATTAATCTTGCTTGAATGTTATCAGAAGGAATCTATGCCAAGAATAGTTGGATATGAACGGATCATATGGACAGCCCACAATGGCCACCAAATGTGCACCATGAACTTCAAAAACCCGAGTTTTAGCCGATCACATCCGTTTAATAATTATGTTGATTTAAAGGCGACACGAACCTGACATGATATTAATGCGAGTATGACTATAATGAATCAAATATAGATATAATAAACACATACAATACAGTAGAAATGACGCAACACAATGCTAACCCTGATCGACAAACATTTTTTTTTTTTTGGGGGGGGGGGGAAGAGAGAGAGATACCTGACTAAACCTTAGTGGGTGGTCCTCTCCTTGCAGTTGGAGGCTGCCACTGACAAAGACAATGATGCCGCCAGCAAAAGCCGATGGCTGAGAATCAATGGTGCTAATCAGATGGTGGCACTGGTCGAATGGCAACTGATTTAGCTTACGAGAAATGTCATCAACCCCTTGTATGATTTGCCCCTCAAATGTGAGGATGGAGGTTGGTTGGTAGAGAGAGCAGAGAGAGGCCCGATCATTGTCGAATAACTGGTAGTAGTGATCCACAAATGCCCTTCCCACCATTTCAGCTTGCTCTTCCATCTCTCTCTCTCTCTCACACACACACAAAACATGAGAATTTAAAGGAGAAATGGGAGTGCTTTAAAGTAAAGAACATATAGACCAAGTGCCAATAAAGAAAAAGATGACAATGTACAAGGGTAATTAGAATATATGAAAGGCATCTACGGTGCTGCATTGGTACGCAAAGTTTTGAAAAAAAAAGATTGAAATCCATATAAAGAGTTGGTTGAGCATCTGCTACGCCACCCAGTTTCAGAGGCTTTTGGCCGACCAAAATCACTTTTTGCTTTGAGAACCCTAAATATTCACAGATTATCAGAAAATGTCCTACTGTATGAGTAAAGATTATCATCACAACCACCTTGCTCCAATGGATAATGACATTATCTCCCCTCCCCGAACGAGACATGGCTTGATGGAACTGCTCATAGGACATCATACTACATACTAAAATCAAACAAGCACTTATTCTCCCCTACCGGATAGCTGTAGACAGTTCAAATGGTCCTCTACAAAGATATTTCGTCGTTATGGGTATTACATAGTAGTCCAAATTCGAGAAAATCAAGGCTAGCTATGTGGCCAGGTATGGTTCGAAGAGGGTGATTTGAAGACTCACAGACCGCTTCCTAGTAGATATCAGGGAAAAAACAAATTGTGATGTCCGATAATTCGGTGTCTGGTGTACCTACATTTCACCACCTGCTGGATTTCTTCCATCAATTTTTTCTGCATTAATTGAAGTAGCGCAAGTAGATGACAGTGGCAAGAGTATTAATGGGAAGAGGAAACCTGAGTTAAGAGAACAGTGGCAAGAGTCTAAGAACGAGAAGATGAAGACGTCTAGAGGCTTTGAAATTTTGGCTAGTGTGAACATTGATCCTGGTTTTTGTTCTGTATGGACTGCACTACTACAAAGAAGCAAAAACAAATCCTGCAGACTTCAGAAAAAGAGCTACCCTTGACACATGTGCCGAACCAACAATATGTCTACATCCATGTCCCTGTTCTTGCGTCTTTTCACCCACATTCGGTCTTGCCAAGGGTGGGGTTGCACTATCCCCACTCGACTGATGTAGCTAACCCTCTTTATTCCCCTTAAGCATCTAAAACAATTAGTTAATGAGATTGGCCAACAAAATAGGGAGCCATAGAAATGACGAGTAATCGCATAACAGAAAATTCATGCTTACTTTGACAAATCAATCACTCTAGTGATTATGCAAGTATATAAGATTAAAAAACAAAACTAGTCTCCAAAAAGCATAGCCACGCACATAGAGATGAACAGTAACATGAAATCCATGTTAACAAAACGAAAGTTTCCTTTGCTAGATAAAGTGCTGGGCCACCATGAGCTACCACATCAGACATTTCAAAATATAAATCGAAGCATTTTATCTCAAATGTTGGTCACATCAGGCACATTTTTATCTCACATGCTTTCCAGTAAGCCTTTTCCGACTTTGCCTGAAGATATTCCACAAACTGAAACAATGCCCCCTCCAAAAACTTTGAAAAAACTAAATTCCATCATATAACTTGAATGTCATTGCTGAATATCAATCTAACACAATCTTGGTGTTACTGAGATCTCATGATATAGTTCTTCCAAGAAAAAACACAGGCAACAAGAAGATAACTTTGCAAAAGAACATATTTCAATTTACTAATAGGAACTACCAAATTGTTGGAAATACCACATAATGATCATCACATGTGATTTGTTCATTCTTCCATTCACCTTCCCTGTCTTTTTTCTTAAAAAAACAGCACAATAAAATGTGCAAATGCCACTACTTGCAGTGTCAGATAATTCTATATAACATTTGTACTTTTTATCCACTACTCATTTAAACTACATAACTTCAACAAAACTTAAAGGATTCAAGAAGCTTTCAAATGGAAGGCCAACATTGTGTGTGTAACTATCACAACAAATAACAATCCAACAGCATTAAATTGTTTGTTACAGCAGTTAGAACTTGGTAAATGTAGCAAGACATCAATAATGATGCTGTAGTTTAGGCATTGCATAGAATCAGAAGCTGAAATTTAACTAGTACACAAATGTTTTGAGCAAATACTAAGCATCCACCCAAGTACCAACAAGCAGAAAATTAAGGTCTGGCCTATTTTGTATCGATATAGTGAATAGTTCAAAATCTCTTGCCAACAACCGGAGACTTCCCGAATTTGTTCTACACACTACCAACTCGAAGGCCAATAAGCATGAATGCCATACCCAGTCTTCCAATTATCCAAGACAACAACCTTCCTGACAGCCCAAAACGAAACCAACAACGCCACAATCATCATCACCCTCTGCACAGTCCTATTCCTCACTCCAACCAGTCCGTGTGTCATAACAGCCAACATCAACCCCACAATGGTGTACAAAGACCCCACCGCAAGCCCCTCGGCTCCCAATTGCATCCCAGACCCCTGATAAAAGAAAATCAACTTTGACGGATCATTTCTATCCGCCATAAACATCGGCATTTTCCTAATTATGTTATGCATAGTCCCAGCAACACTGAAAAAATACACAAACACTGCCCCAGACAGCCACAATTTCCAATCATGCAAAAGGGTCTCACCAGCTATCACTTTTTTCGCAAAAAACGGCAACGAAGTCACAATGGCAGCTACGATAAACATCAGCTGGGCAGTAGAAATAAGGGGTGGTCGATGAATTGGACCTAAAACAAGCTTGGTTTTGGATTCTACAAATTCAGCCATGGATTCGGCGAGACGTGAAAAGTCTCCGGCGTCCATTTGGATCGAATCTTGTTTGAGGTTCTGGGCAGTGGGGGGAATAAGACGGATGTGAGGGAGGGCATTGACACCGAATTGGGCAAAGGTGTTTTGGGACTCTTTGAATTCGACATCGCAAAAGAACAACTTTTTGTGATCTGGGTTGTCTTTGTTGTTGGTGATGAAGGAGGAAGCGACGAGAGAGAATTCGGATTTAAGTGAAGGGAGATGGAGATCGGTTTTGGAGTGGAGTTGTTGGGCATCAAAGAAGATGATGAGAGAGAAGGATCTTGGTGTTTTAGGAGAGAGGATGTGAGGGAGGAGGTGATCTGTGAGGTGGATGACGCCAGATTGGGATTGGGATTGGCGGGTTAGGAGTTCTGAGAGGATCGATTCTGGGTCTGAGGAAGAAAAGGGTTTGACGGGTATGGTGAGAGAGAGAAGAGTGATGAAGAGAAAGAGGTGGGTTGTTGTTGATCTTGCATAGATCGCCATTGTTGTTGGTGTGTGGTTTGGGCCGGGGGTTGAACGAGCAAGGGTTTTGATGTTAGCGAGGTAGAGAGACTTGAGACGACTTTAGATGCGGTTGAAGATTTACATTGTCTTCAGTTACCAGTTGAGTAACGCCAGCTCGGCAAAAGTTTGCCCTGTCACAGATCCACATTATTACTTACTTTTCTCAAAACAAAAGAAACCAAAATTATCTTAGGACTAATCTCACTTCATACTCTAAATATTCTAAAAGGTGTTTCGATTTTATATTTACATCAAACATTAAAAATCTTAAAGTTGTACTCTCAATATTATGAATTAGTACAATTATGAACCTGAATCAGACTATTGTTCAATTTTTCGTTATAAATCGAAACACGTGAATTGTAAGTACTTCGACATAAGCTTATGATTTTTTGATAAACATATAAACTTATATTTAAATTTATAGACCGTTGGCGTCTCATGTAAATTGCACATGATAGGATTAACCTATATCTAATTAATGAACTCATATTTTCGATAATTAAACGGTGTCAAATTAATCGCAGACGAAAATCTGCAGTGATAGATATACCTCATTTTCATGCCTGAAACACTTGTACCTGACATTATCGCCTCTTTTCTATTGAACCTTAAAGTCATGGGTTTAATGTATTATGTATATATAGCGATTGTGCAAAAATACCACATTTGTGTAATGAAGGAGGTAGAAATCAGTAATTCATGAATGGCCTAATACCGCTCACGTCAATGAATTGAACCAAAACGAATTTTCGGGGACGAGGGGTGATGCTGGTGTCAATTGAGCAAGATTTATGAGGTTCAGCAAAGAAGAGAAACAATAAAGCTAACATACCCAGCAAAGAACTAAATCTACAGATGGAAAATAATAAAGGGAAAAACAACCAATACATAGTNATCACCGCCTATCTCCTTAGTCATTAAGCATGATGGTAAAATCTGTTTTATAACCTGTACTATATATAACACATCTACTAATTGTTTGTTTCACAGGTTATAAACATATATAAAATTACACACCCATATAGCATACATCACCAAGTACGCTTGTTGAGTCTGTTTACAAATATATACTATTAACATGTTATAACAATCTCTTACTCAATCTAATATACAACCCAACAAATAATTATACAGATGCTCAATTTGTATCACTCAACTCATTAAAGTAAATACATAATTAACAGACATACAATCTGAATAATATCACATTAACTTCACTGGACCACTCTGGATTGAACTCAATTTTACTAGACAGTACTCAACCGACTGAACAATTGACTGATCTACAATTCCCTCTATAGTACCTGAAAAAGAGAACCTATACGGGTGTGAGCTAAACCACGCGCTCAGTGAGTATACATGTTGTATATGAAATAGAAATAATAGTAATACACATGAGTAAGTAGATACTACGTAGATACATGTATCAAACAACAACATCAAACCAATTCCAAAGAATTCACAAGCCACAATACATCCATACTACCCTTCATCGGTATTCGATCTCACATGGATCCGTGTCTCCCGAATCTTTCAGGAATACCACAGTACTTACACACCACTGCACGTCCAGTGATCAGGCATCGACGCTCATATCTCAAACAACGTGTCACATTTCACAATACACAATACACAGTATAAAACATCATTAAATCATATAAGCACATAACACATAAATCTGGAGAATTGCTATTAAATTCTATCATTTTTTATCATCTTATAATAGCATTTCAAAACATATAATGATATATATCCACCTCAAGTGTATAGATTTACAGGCCTTCAGACCTACCAATCCCTTTCGGTGTAATCGTATCTGTTTCAACACCGACTGTCCTACTTGTTCCACCTAACTCATTTATAATTACAATATCAATAAATTTCTCATATTGAATAATTAATCATGTACTAATGCATGTAATATGATTCAATCCAAAGTGCCCAGGTAACCCCGGTTACCGCACTTAGAAACCCTTATCCGGGTCAGAAACCCTTTATCCAAGTCCGGATCCACGTCAATATTCAACACACCCAATCATATATTTTAATACATGTTAAAGTATCATAAATATCATATGAAAAAATTTAGAAACAAGTTTAGAAAGCATTGCCTATTCCGAAATTGAGAAACCCTACTAGCTTTGTATTTTGATCTAAANCTAAATATTCTAAAAGGTGTTTCGATTTTATATTTACATCAAACATTAAAAATCTTAAAGTTGTACTCTCAATATTATGAATTAGTANCCAAATATTCTAAAAGATGTTTCGATTTTCAATTTACATCAAACATTAAAAATCTTAAAGTTGTACTCTCAATATTATGAATTAGTACAATTATGAACCTGAATCAGACTATTGTTCAATTTTTCGTTATAAATCGAAACACGTGAATTGTAAGTACTTCGACATAAGCTTATGATTTTTTGATAAACATATAAACTTATATTTAAATTTATAGACCGTTGGCGTCTCATGTAAATTGCACATGATAGGATTAACCTATATCTAATTAATGAACTCATATTTTCGATAATTAAACGGTGTCAAATTAATCGCAGACGAAAATCTGCAGTGATAGATATACCTCATTTTCATGCCTGAAACACTTGTACCTGACATTATCGCCTCTTTTCTATTGAACCTTAAAGTCATGGGTTTAATGTATTATGTATATATAGCGATTGTGCAAAAATACCACATTTGTGTAATGAAGGAGGTAGAAATCAGTAATTCATGAATGGCCTAATACCGCTCACGTCAATGAATTGAACCAAAACGAATTTTCGGGGACGAGGGGTGATGCTGGTGTCAATTGAGCAAGATTTATGAGGTTCAGCAAAGAAGAGAAACAATAAAGCTAACATACCCAGCAAAGAACTAAATCTACAGATGGAAAATAATAAAGGGAAAAACAACCAATACATAGTATTAACATGAATGTATGTAACCACATTCAAAACAATCATGAATAAAGGAAATATACAAGGTTCAGCAATGATGAGAATTGAGAAGGCAAAGAAAAACTATCATCCATCATTTCTTTTTCAAAAGCTCATTATGATACATCTCTCAACAAATAATTATGTACACCATTACTTTCCGGAAAAAATTATGTACAACACAGATCTATGTCTACCACCAAAATTCCATTCCCATTACTGAAACTAATAATCAAGAGCCTGCAGATATTGTCCCATGCCCTGCAAGGTAGGATATAGCTCGGGTGTAAATGAAAATCGACGAATGTATGGCATGCAGACATCAAGGGCAACAACTTGTCATTTAAAACCAGATATCAATCGTTTATATCTTTTCGCATCAGGTTTAAGCCCCACTTTAAGCATTTCATCATGTAATTTCATGGCTTTTCTGAGTTCCTTTTCATGACAAAGCCCACTTATAACAATTGAAAAGCTTTCACTGCTCAACAAATTTTTCCTTCTCATGTAATCAAACACCCCTAGTGCTTCTTCAAGTCTCCTTCCTTTAACAAGTCCATTGAGAAGTATATTATATGTTGTCAAGTCCATAGTACCTTCCAATTTTACCACCTTCTTATGCAATCCAATGGCTGAATCAATCCGTCTGCTAGAGCAGTAATGCTCCACCAATGGGCGAGAGCAAATCCAATCTGGCAATAACCCTTTATCTAAAATTGCATTCAGAAGGTCCTCTGCTTCTCTCCAACGTCTTTTATCACACTGAGAAGCTATATATTTAGACAATTCTGATGCACACGGAGTAAACCCTTTTTCTATCATATCTCTCAACAATTTACTGACTTCCTCAGATGGATCTTCCTTGCAAAGTACATTCACAAATGCAGTATAACAACTATTCTTAGATACAATTTTCCTTCCCAACATGAGGTGGTACATCCCAATTGCGTCCTTCACCCTGCCTTCTTTGGACAATGCCCTCAGCATACACCCATAAGAAGTGTCATGTAATTCAACCTTCTCATCACAAGCTAGTCTGAAAAACATATCAGCCGCGTCTATCTTTCCCAAGTCAGAGAGCTTTTGAATGATTGAATCGTATCCTGGGAATGGAAGTTTTGGAAGATATCCCTTCTCCATCATAGAATCCATTACCTTCTCAATCAATTCATCCTCTTTATATTTACAAGCCCCATCAAGAATAGAGCTATAGACATGAAAACCCGGGTTGAGTTTCTTATTGCACATCTCATCTAACTGATTAAATGCAGCTTCAAAATTCCCACTTCTACTATACCTCTCAATGAGTAGATCATACATCACAGAACCATCTATACCCATGTCTAATATTCTAACAATTCTTTCAAATTTCCCATCTTTACAAAGAATCCGAGCAATTATAGACCATGTATACGTATTTCCTAAAAGCCCATTTCGAAGCATTGAACTATAAAAACACCAAGCCAATTTCACCTCATCTTCTTGTTGTAACACATTGAGCAATTCATTACAACTCTGAATTGAAAGAACATGTCCATAGTCTTTGGTTTCCCTAAATATCTCTAAACCTTGCAAATACCAGTTCTTATGGCAATAACATTTAAGAAGAGAACTCAACACAAGGGAGTGAAAGTCAGTACCTTTACAAGACTGACTCAGTGAGTCCACGATCTGGGTTGGTGGGTGGTCTTGAATCAATGAATCCAAGATGGGTATAGCGGATTTGGAGAGCCCGGACCCATATAGTATCTGGGTGAGTTTGCAATGGGTTCTGAGGTCTGGTTGGAACCCCAGGTTTGCTTTGGCCCAGTTGAAGAAGGAGAGAGAGATTTGAGGGTTGGCTTGGGTCTTGTGGAGGACTTGGAGGAAGAGAGATGGGGTTAGCTTGGAAGAGAGGTTCAGGGTTTTGAGAAGTGGGCCCCAATTGTGTCTCTGCAAGAGAATAGAGGAGATTTGGGAGACCAATAGGGTTTGCTTTAAATGGTTCCTCCAACGGAGGGTTGGTTTTGTTGATTTTGTTGTTGAAGTTGAGAGTGATTTGGTGAAGAGATGAGGTCTGTGAAGATGCATTCTCGTTCAATTTGCTAGTTTTCAGCATAGCTACTGAAAAGGGAGCTTCAGTATTGGATTAACCATCTCCTACGGTCCTCTTCTTCCATTTTTATGGTGTCGTTTTAACAGAATTTAGAGTCAACTACACATGTAGTCTTTATATTATGACTATGTATTAATTAAGCTCCTATATATTGTTTTTTTTTTGGGTATTTCTGAACTTTCGAATTATGTCGATTAAACTCTTTTATCTGTCTTTATTTTTAACAAGAAATAGCAAAGTATGTCACTCACATGACACAAATTGTTAGAATAAATTATACATATGACTCTCAGACTTTAACTTTTACGTTAATTAAGTTTTTGGACTTTTTTGTATATTAATTGAGTCTCTAAATTCTCTAATTGTATCGATTGAACTCTTTTATCTTTTTGTATTATATAGTTACGTGAGTGTCACACTCTAACGAAAACCGACACATAATTAGAGAGTTCAAACTTAATTGATACAAAAAAAAGTTAAGGGATTTAATTGGCGTAAGAGTCGTAGTTTAAAGATTATATGTGTAATCTTAACTTTTATTTCGTATTTCTCCAATCATGATATTTAATAAAAATTATAGTTAATTATAGTGGAATAATTTTTATTTTAAAAAGTATTAAACAACTAAAAATTAATTAGTATAGTGGAGTGATTACATTACACATGTGACATAATTTGATTGAGTAAAACCTTAAGTAAATATAATCTTAAGAAAGAATGGATAAAAATAAAAATAAAAACTTTATTTAGAATCACCTCAATAAACTTCAAAGTGTATCAAAACATTGCTAATGAGCTACTAATTGAGAGACTTCAAGAAGTGTGGATGAAGCAAGAGATGAGGGAGACAGATAGATATGTAGATCTGTTTGTTAAAAAATGAGTACTTAATCATAAAAATATATGTATATTTAGAATTCTTATGGATTGTATTATTGAATAGTTGCACGCAGATAATATGAATATGAATATGAAAATAGCACATATGCAATGTTTAATATATATTAAATGTCAAAATTATCAACAAAAAAAAATATTATGTGGTACAACATTATAATATTGAACATCTTTACTATGACACTATATTGTAAAAATCCACACAAGACAAACCAAAACAAAATGCGTAAAATATGAATTAACATATATATTAACTTTAATCTTTGCATGTCATCCTGTGATCTATTTTATTTGACCTCCTAATCAGTTTCATAGACAAAGACTCAATAGTGAGAAACGTGCAGAGATTATGATCGTTGTGAGATGCACATACAATTCAATCTTTTGAATGGGAGGAGACACAGCAAAGTTGGCCTAAGGCTCTGTTACGCCTCATCCCGATCTCCAAAAGATGAGACGCGACTAGATTTTTGATATACCTGTATATATATATATATATATATATATATATATATATAATCTGGACTAATAAAACATTAAATAATCCCACAGATGCAACAACACCGCCTATCTCCTTAGTCATTAAGCATGATGGTAAAATCTGTCTTATAACCTGTACTATATATAGCACATGTACTAATTGTTTGTTTCACAGGTTATAAACATATATAAAATTACACACCCATATAGCATACATCACCAAGTACGCTTGTTGAGTCTGTTTACAAATATATACTATTAACATGTTATAACAATCTCTTACTCAATCTAATATACAACCCAACAAATAATTATATAGATGCTCAATTTGTATCACTCAATTCATTAAAACTAAATACATAATTAACAGACATACAATCTGAATAATATCACATTAACTTCACTGGACCACTCTGGATTGAACTCAATTTTACTAGACAGTACTCAACCGACTGAACAATTGACTGATCTACAATTCCCTCTATAGTACCTGAAAAAGAGAACCTATACGGGTGTGAGCTAAACCACGCGCTCAGAGAGTATACATGTTGTATATGAAATAGAAATAATAGTAATACACATGAGTAGGTAGATACTACGTAGATACATGTATCAAACAACAACATCAAACCAATTCCAAAGAATTCACAAGCCATAATACATCCATACTACCCTTCATCGGTATTCGATCTCACATGGATCCGTGTCTCTCGAATCTTCCAGGAATACCACAGTACTTACACACTACTGCACGTCCAGTGATCAGGCATCAACGCTCATATCTCAAACAGTTTGTCACATTTCACAATACACAATACACAGTATAAAACATCATTCAATCATATAAGCACATAACACATAAATCTGGAGAATTGCTATTAAATTCTATCATTTTTTATCATCTTATAATAGCATTTTCAAAACATATAATGATATATATCTACCTCAAATGTATAGATTTACAGGCCTTCAGACCTACCAATCCCTTTCGGTGTAATTGTATATGTTTCAACACCGACTGTCCTACTTGTTCCACCTAACTCATTTATAATTACAATATCAATATATTTCTCATATTGAATAATTAATCATGTACTAATGCATGTAATATGATTCAATCCAAAGTGCCCAGGTAACCCCGGTTATCGCACTTAGAAACCCTTATCCGGGTCAGAAACCCTTTATCCAGGTCCGGATCCACGTCAATATTCAACACACCCAATCATATATTTTAATACATGTTAAAGTATCATCAATATCATATGAAAAAATTTAGAAACAAGTTTAGAAAGCATTGCCTATTCCGAAATTGAGAAACCCTACTAGCTTTGTATTTTGATCTAAAATCACCAAAAATTAAACATTGCTATTTTTCAATGAAATTTAATACACATACTCAATTAACCTACCTAAAATTGAATATAAAATTTATTTCCTTAAAATATGGGTCAATTTTACCTCGGAAGGCAAAACGGTCATTTTAGTCCTCATTTTGATCCGACAGTTTAGTCGACTTGAAATTTTATCAAGACCACCGCACAGATGTTACAAAACTTTTGGAACCAACCAGAGGTCGATCGGAGTTCGAACATGCCCAAAATTGCCATTGGAGTCCACTGGTGTTCCCCACCCCACTTCATCTTCAACCTTTGCTTGGTTTGACTTTTGCTCTAAGTGCAGAATTTTTTGCTCAACCAACCCACTTTGACCTCATAGTTCTCCCACTACAGTACACCATTTTCTTTTATTCCAATACCCACACACTCTTTGAACAACATGGTTTCAATCCCATCTAGACTCAGCCTTCGAATTTAACTCTAACATCATCAAATCATTTGGTTAAAGTTGGCCAAAAATCATTTTTTAAACACAAAGGTAGACCTGCAACTGCCCGTTTTAGCCCTAAAACAACCTCTAAATCAAATTCTAAGGCCGAAAATGGATTCTTTGATCCCAATTTAACCAGACCCAAGCCACCTTTTGAAGCTTAAACAAGTTTTTATTAAAATTACATTTTTACTTCTTCAAACCCTCACGCCACTGTTACACCTCACACACCACGACAAACCACCATAACTTCACTAAACAACTCCTTGAGACCCTCCAAACTTAACCATATCAACCAATTAACCCTAATCATGCTCAAATCATATACTCGTTTCAAAATCTAAAAATCTACTAAACTTCAAAACACAAATTCATGCAGTACTACTAAACCAAATCACAATCTAAAAGCATAAATGAGTTCCTAACATCTATATTAGGCTATTAGTATACCTATTAGTGTTCGACGTGATCTCTGCAAGAATCCAAAACTTCACAGTCTACACTTCCTTTCTCTGGCTCTTCCTTACTCTTGGT